GCTAAAATTTTGGTTTGAAAATTAGAAAATAATTCGCTCGTGGGGAATTTAATGGATTCATACAACAAACAAAGAAGCCTTAACTGTGCTTTGCGGTTTTGTTACAAAGTTCTTAGGAAGCGGCTAGAGCGCTCAAGAAGTAGAGAGAAACACTTGACTACGTCTTGCGTTTTTCCCTACACTTCCTTCGTGCTCTAGTCGCTTCCTGTATGCTTTACAACAAAACAGAGCACAGTCAAGGCTTTATTAAATCCCTTAATCCCCTTATCACCATGCGACACAGCTTTATTTCCCTCAGCCTGATCCCTTTCCTTACTTAGTTCTTCTGATCACCTCTTTTCCTATTTTATCGTTAATACTAGTGTTTGTAAAATCGATCGTTTTTTGGAATAAGAATACGCAATTATAGTTTTGTTGCAAATCTCTTGTGCCCTAATTTTTTGTGCTACTTAAACGTTACATACAGCGGAATATTTTATTTCAAGCAGATTTCTAGAAATGAACGCCAAAATAATTGATTTCTAGAGTTTATTCCGGCCGACGGGGGTCAATCGAACATGCCTTTAATCATGGGAAATAAGGAATTGATCAACCATGATGATGCCAGCTTCTTCCTCTATATGTTGAAATGTTTGAAACTACTTACTATCACAAAATTTACTTAATTCCTATCACAAACGAATAATGTGAGTGAGACATGTTTGTTGTATTCTAATCACGTCCTGTGTTTGTTTTAGAGCTTCATACGTCAAATAAGAGCTTAATCGAAGTCGCCGAGTCTCTTAGTTTGCGACAGTTTGTTCGACTGATGAACTCGTCTGGCTTCTCTTCGAAATTGGAGTCAGTGACGCGTTGCACCCTCTTTGTTCCTTCGGACCAAGCTTTCGCCGCTCTGCCACCGGAGAAGTTAACAGAACTGGAGAGTGATTTGGAACTTCTTCGTTCCACGCTAATGCTGCATGTAGCGCACGGAAAGATTGTAACTGAAGCAATGAAAGACAACAGTAAAATAACTACACTTGACGAGGCTGAGCAACTGCGTATCAATGTAGTAGATGATGGCGAGGTATGGGATCTGTGTTGATTTTGTTCCTTAAAAAAAGTGAGATGAAAACCTTGATCTTGGTAAAGGTAAACACGTAAGGGGAACACGCAATAGCGATACTCGCGCTGACGTCACCTATTGGTTTTTTTGTGCCAATCAGATGCGCATTGGCTCTTGAAACAAAAAATGCTTTTGTTTCACTCGTTACAAATTTGAATATGATTAAGCTTATCAGTGAATCTAATTGTCTGTTGCAACAACAACAACAGCAATGTAAACTTTCAATCGTACAAAACAGAAAGCATGCTTTTTTCCTCCTTCCTTTGTTCAGCTCCCTTGTCAGCTAGTTGGCTCTGTCGCGTCTTACCACCGAGCCTAGCCCGTGTCAGGCTCTCAGATGGTAGCTAGGGACGTTGCGAAAGCAAGGTCAAGCGAACCCTCTCCACTGAGCCCCGCGCATTTATTGCGTCAGTTTTCCACGATCTCTGCTCTACTATCTCGGAGCCTGGAACAGGCTATTCGACAGACTGAATAGGGACTGCTTGCAGTCTACGGAACCCCCAGCTCTGAAGGCAAGCGCTCTACCAACCTATCACCCTGCCGCAGTTATTGATTTTTGGCTATTTATGTTTCATTGGCAGACAGTTGTTGTCCAAGGGGGACAAATCCTTCTACCGAATCAGGGAGCAGCCAATGGCATTATCCACGTCATTGACAGAGTCCTAGAGCCAACCGCTGGTGATGTTCAAACACTTTTGAAAAACGACCCAAATTACAGCATTTTCTCGCAGATGATAGAGAACACTGCCATGAACTTTACTAACATCACATTGTTTGTACCGAGTGATGAGGCTTTTGAAGTGATGGACCGCGAGAGACTAGAAAGGCTTATTTCCAACGAAGACTGCGTTGAAGTAAGTCTTTTAATGATTATCGATAAACCTATCGGTCATCTACCTTTTATTCCATGACGTTACTGAAAGTCCTGACATTGACTCTTGTTTTACCCTCGCTAGCTAGATCTGCCGACAATAGCGACTGGACACACACTAAATAATAATAATAATAATAATAATAATAATAATAATAGTAATAATAATAAAGATTATACATATTGATGATAAATAATTATGATCGTCTCCTGTGATGGTGATGATGATGATGATGATGATGATGATGATGATGATAATGATGATGAAGAAGAAGACGAAGAAGAAAAGAAGACAACAAGAAAAAAAGGGGGGGTATCGCTGCACTTTGCCACAGGTTGGCAAATAAGGTCTACAAATTTGATTTTGAAATAGAACTGAAAACAATTATCCTTTCTACGGAGACGTGGGAGACCATAATACAGCTAGAGCAAAGAGTCAGTCTCTTTTGTAGAGTTATTGTACCAAGAGAACATTTTCTTGATTGTATTTATACAGAGATTCGTCAAGTACCACATGCTGCCGAAACCACTCTACATATCTGCAATGGACAATCGCCGTTTCGTAACAGTTGAGGGACATTTTGTTGATATTAAAACAGGTGGGGAAGAAGAGGTCACGGTAAATGACGCCACCGTGACAGACGCTGACATAAGTGGAACTAATGGTGTACTTCATGTCATCGACAAAGTTCTGATGCCCGTTTCAGGTACCTTGGCGACACAAAATATATAGAGCTATTTCGAGAAAGTAGTCGGAAAAAGTGCACGCGACAATCCCGAAAGGTATTTTGGGTGGTTTTGAGTTCACTGTTCTTCAAAGAAATTTGAAAGAATGACGTAAGAGGCCATGGACGTATATTTGCGAATGCTAAATGAAAGTAACAATCAAGAGTAGGTTCGACAGGTACAGTGTCAAGAACAGTACGTGTTGATCATATCCCATATTACCTTTCAGGATTGTCGCGTGTACATTTGTTCCGACAACCTTTCTCGAAATAGCTGTATGCGTGGGATTGGAGGGAAATCTGGGCCTAGTTGCTCGAAGATGGCAAATACAGATTGGTTACCCCGAAAAAAAGTTATATGTGGTTTTTGTAGTTGGCCCAGGGTTAGACTCAATCACCTTGGACGTCGACTCATAATTTTGACTTAAATAACAATTTCTACATGAAATGTATGATGACGACGTCTTTGTTCTTGGGAACAAACTCATCCATGAATGATTAATTGACATTTTCGTTGTCTTGTTGTCTTTTGTTTCGGAGATTGTTCGTATCACGTTGCCTTTTTGCTATAGCCGTAGATGAGAGTTGTGCAAAATATATTTAATTTAAAAACATAGAAACAATAGAAACCAGTGAAGATGATTTTATTCTTGGGTTTTATATCTTCAGCGGTAGTGAAGGCAGTGTGGCCGAGTGGTTAGAGCGCTGGAAGTTCAACTCCCGCTCTGATCGCTTGCTGGATTTGTTCTCGATAGTCCCGAGTTCAAATCCTCGGCCGCGGGAACTGGCCAACGGTTTGCCTCCAGACAGTTGGGACTCTTAACCCCGTTATGTTTGTTTCACGCATCTGCTTGGCCCCACTACCATTAGTGCTATAGTAACTGTGGAGAATAAATAACGGAAATTTATTTATTCATTTTTAGCAATGAACTTGTTAGAAGTGGCTAAAGTTTTAAAGCTGACCACACTGGTGCAAAACCTCAACCAAAGCGGTCTCGCAACCACACTGAGAGACAAGCGAGGTCCTTTCACGCTGTTTGCTCCATCAAACAAAGCGTTCGAGAATTTACCCGAATCAACCAAACAACTGTTACGGAACGATCCTGACAAACTAAAGGAAATTCTCAGTTACCACATCATACCTGAACAGAAATTGACTTATGAATTTGGCAAGGACTTGTTGGTAAATTCATCAAGCGCGGCCCACAAGTTACGGCTGAATTCATTCAGATACGGAAAGGTGAGAAATGCCTAGTAAAAATTATGTTCTGGAATTTTTGTTCAATCTGTTAGCTTTAATTTCTTAGGCTACAATTGGTTTGGATAGTTGGGATAATGTGCTAGACATACACCACCCCCTCCCCCCTCCTTCCCCACCCATTTCGATCCAATCAACAGAATCAAGGATATGTGAGGGTGGAGACAAAATGAGAACGGACAAATTCACTACCTCGCCATTATTTTTAAGAAAGCGCGCTAACGATCGTGAGGCGTTTTGCCTTCAAGTCTCTTATGAACAGAAGCCGGTAACTTTACTTGAACACCCTCCCTTCGCCTCCTCTTAGCTCCCTCTTACTTATTGTGCCTTTGTTTTGAAAAAAGTATACAATTCTATACGTTGCAACTGGTATTTACCCAGCCGCATGAAAACGCTAACGCCAGGCAATTACGATAGGGTCCCTTTAAAACATCGTATATTTGAAAACATAACATCCGTTTTCGTCCGTCCACACGAAGATCTCCACTCTGGGGCCCGTTTTCAAAAACCCGCGAGTGGACGAAAAGCTAGAACGAAGAAAAAATATTCCGGGTACGTGTGAACGGGACTAGTACAAATCAATTACAAAATAAAAGATATAGATTAGACCGGTTTATCACCGACTGCAGGGCCCCAGTGGTCTGGGGTGGAGTCAAATTTTTTGAACGCTTTTACGTCAAGATAGATCTCAAGCACTGTTTTTCAACAAGAATTCCTTATTACTCCGACCAATATGAGGAAAAATCATCTTGGATTACTTTTCGTCAATTGTACCCAGCAAACGTACCCGCTTTCTGGCCAGCCAGGTAATATCATTTTTGCGAATACAAGGATCTAGTAAAGTGAAGAGACGGTCGGATTCATGCTTTTGTTACTATTTCAGGTACATGCTGTGAATGGCGCGTGTATAACTAAAGCCAACGTTCAAGGCTGCAACGGGATCATTCATGTCATTCAGAAAGTCCTACTGCCGCCGACGAAAACAATTTATGACCTTATCAACTCGGATTCTCGCTTTGTCACCTTAGCGGAGGCCATCAACATGACCTCGCTGAGGACAACCCTTCAGAATCCTTCGGCCTCCTTTACTCTGTTTGCCCCAACAGACTGGGCCTTTGCTAAGTTGGAGCTCCGCTCCCCTGGGACAATGGAGACACTCCTGGCCAATCCAGAGGAGTTGACAGTCAGGACGTGTCTTCTTCGTATTTATTTACGGCTGATTTAATTCGAATAGGGAAAGGTGAAAAATGCTAAAAATTTTTTTTTGGATTTTTTTTTCAACCTTTTAATTTTATTTTTTTGGGCAAAATTTGGTTGGGAAGTTTGGGGAAAGTTGCTAAAAATAAACCACCCCCCCCCCTCCTTCACCACCCATTTCGATCCAATCAACAGAATCAACGATATGTGAGGGTGGGGACAAAATGAGAACGGACAAATTCACTACCTCGCCATTATTTTTAAGAAAGCGCGCTAACGATCCTGGGGCGTTTTGCCTTCAGAGCTCTTGAACAGAAGCCGACACCTCTACTTGGACACTCTCCTTCGCCTCCTCTTAGCTTCCTCCTAGTGTACCTTTGTTTTGAAAAAAGTATACAATTCTATACGTTGCATATTCAAATGGTGTTTGCCCAGCCGCATGAAAACGCTGACACCATGCAATTACGATAGGGTCCCTTTAAAACATCGTATATTCGAAAACATAAAATCCGTTTTCGTCCGTCCACACGAAGATTTCCACTCTGGGGGCCGTTTTCAAAAACTCGCGAGTGGACGAAAAGCTAGAACGAAGAAAAAATATTCCGGGTACGTGTGAACGGGACTAGTACAAATCAATTGCAAAATAAAAGATATAGATTAGACCGGTTTAGCACCGACTGCAGGGCCCCAGTGGTCTGGGATGGAGTCAAATTTTTTGAACGCTTTTACGTCAAGGTATATCTCAAGCACTGTTTTTCAACAAGAATTCCTTATTACTCCGACCAATATGAGTAAAAATCATCTGGGATTACTTTTCGTCAATTTTACCCAGCAAACGTACCCGCTTTCTGGCCAGCCAGGTAATATCATTTTGGCGAATACAAGGATCTAGCAAAGTGAAGAGACGGTCGAATTCATGCTTTTGTTACTATTTCAGGTACATGCTGTGAATGGCGCTTGTATAACTAAAGCCAACGTTCAAGGCTGCAACGGAATCATTCATGTCATTCAGAAAGTCCTCCTGCCGCCAACGAAGACAATTTATGACCTTATCAACTCGGATTCTCGCTTTGTCACCTTAGCGGAGGCCATCAACATGACCTCACTGAGGACAACCCTTCAGAATCCTTCGGCCTCCTTTACTCTGTTTGCCCCAACAGACTGGGCCTTTGCTAAGTTGGAGCTCCGCTCCCCTGGGACAATGGAGACACTCCTGGCCAATCCAGAGGAGTTGACCGAAGTTATGGAACATCACGTGGTGAGGGGAACATTTTACACGTGCGGTATCCACTGCATGTACAGCTACTGGTCGATTTTCAGTAATCATTTTGCTATGTATTCTATGGGCCGCGGGGTCATCAGATTGAGGCACGCCGGGGGCAGTCGCGTTTATGTTAATGGTATGCGCATTAGTAACCTCGATCTGCCGGCTACTAATGGAGTTATTCATGTGATTGACGACGTGTTGGAGCTCTATCCCCAGGGACGCCGCAAGCATCGACAACTAGCGCACAGCCGGGTAGCAAGTCACGGAAAAAAGAGACGCTTGCATTGATTGAAAGACAGAGGAAAGACATGCTTT